GAGCCAGCTGTGTGACTGTACATCTCATGCAGATTGGCTTTTCACAATGATAAATAGTAACTTGGACGTATGAAGACCTGTTTCGTTTTGTAACCAATGCCTTAAAAAAGGCTCTTGTCTTTTGAGAAGCAATAGCTTTTAAAACATGAAGAAATAAGTTGTCGGAGTTAAAGACTGTTTCACTGAGTAGAATCGCACGTGAAAACCTCGTGAATTATGATGATGCAAGCATCTACCACAATGATAAAAATCCTGGTATTTCGTAACTATTCAGTATTCGATGAGTCACATTTTGGCTTAAGAAACTCCGAGGAAACCTTATAGTTTTCCTTCTAATCAACGTTTGGTGAGTAGAAATTTATTTCACTTTAACGATTTGTTTAACTTGCACCAATTGTAACAGGGAAAGACAGAGGAAAGTGAATATATAGCTTGAGGATCGACTCAGCTGAGCGTTTCGCGTTTTCATTATGTACCGCAATACGCAATTTCGCACAAAAACCTAATCTACATTTAGGATGAAAGAGGTAGATTGATCACTCTTGGTAAGGTTACACCGAAGCATTTAAGTTACACTGAAGCATTCAAAGTAGCTCATGCACGTTTAACGTGCCTATGTTTTTATCACAGTTATCATAAAAACAACTGTTTAAGCCGTGAATATGAGTCATTTTTTAGCAACAGAGGACAGAATATCGTAACAGCGTATGGCAGGGATATAAATAAAAAAAAGTGTATAGTAGCCACCTACCCCGGTCACCAGAACTTTACCTTTCACAGGAAATTGTCGAAATTCGTTTCTGTGTGTTTTGAGTCTTCTCGAGGATGGAATCTCAAAATATGAACATCTAGAACGCTGTTTGAAAGAAGGGGGATTTCGGGGTCGAGTAAGCAGGATAAATACGTCTTACGGAGATCCGCCAAGAAATCTACGTTCGATGAAGGGTGCAATGGATCAATCTATGTGGATGAAGGTCAAGGTTGATTGACCTTAAAGCGTATGGTAATCAAAGAGGAATTCGAAGAAAGTGCGCAGTTTTCAAGAGTGCCATTCTTCTGAATTTGTTGGCCATACTGGACGTGACAACACTATTTAAAAAATCAAAGACAGAAAGAGAATAAAACAAACCATTAAGAGGTGAGAAAAATGTAACATTGTTTATAGAGGGATAATCTACCTCAGTTGTTAAAATGCTGTAATGGAATTTACAGTGCTCTTATAATTGCCGTCTCAGAAAACGCTATTGGTGTAAGAGTAGCGTCTTCTTCTCTACTCGGAAACATTGGCTTGAAACAGTTCGTCGCTAGTTTGTTTATGAACTTGTGAACTATACTCAGTATCATTAACAACAGCAAGCTAAAAATTCTATTAACGTCTGGCCCCCTGACGTTTTTGTATCGTCCTTTGTCCGAGATGTTACTGTTCTTTTGATGCAGGCAGGCTCAAAAAGTAATGTCTTTCCTTTTATTTAGCATTCTCAGGAAGGTCATGGTTGAAATCGAGAACGACTGGGATGACTTCATCGATGGTGCCTTGACAGTTTGCCATTAACACCAACGTCTCTAGCACCACCAAGTTTAGCCCCTTCTTAATGTTTGGTCGTCAACCACGATACCATTCGAAGTTAAAAAAATTTGTACAGCAGGCTGAAAATGGAGGGGGTGGGGGGGGGGGGGGGGAACAGACTGGGTGGCGGGGGGCTAACATCGGAGGGTGCTTTGCAAGATTACATAGACAAGATGGCTACGACAAGACATGTTCTGTTTTCCAAGGTAGAACGCAACATAACCATAGCCCAGGGGAAACAAAAAAGGCAGTACCAAAAGAGGAAAGGAGGGATGAGTAAGAGCTTTAAAGAGGGAGATGTCGCGCTGCGACACACCTTTTAGGCTTCGGAAAAGTAAGCAAGGTCACAAAATGCAAGAAAAGTGACTGGGGCCTTACAAAACAGAGGAAATTAACTTGGAAAACGGAACATGTCAGCTACTTGGGCGAGATGGGAAGACTTTAGAGCGGAAAACTAATCTGAAGGATGTTAAGATTTACAAGGCACAGTATGTGAGTTCAAGAGACGATCGCGACCAAGCTGGTTTGTCTCCAGCCCCGAATGAAGAGGTGAAAGTTCCACTGTCTGCTGCAGTACCGACTGCAGCACCCCAATAGGGTAAAACAACCAGGCATCCAGCCAACCCCACGCACGAACAGAGCAGAGACTGTGTGCCTTCCCCGTCTTCTACTAGTGTCGAGCCATATAAGCAACCAGGTCTTGAGTGACTGATTAGCACCCCAGCAGGGTGGTGCAACCAGGTTTTCAGTGTGTACGGGACCTAAAAAGAGGGAAGCAACAAGGCCTCAACTCAGCCACATGCCCGGAAAAGTTGAAGCAACCAGGTCTTCAGTGTCAGCAGGACCCAAACAAAGGAATCCAGCGAGGTGTCAAACCAACCGCATACCTGAACAAACCATAAACGTCGTGTTTACGAAGTCTTCCACAGCTGTACAAGGAGATGCAGCCCATCCTTCACCAACCTTTCCACTTCATCAGAAGACAACCACACATCCACTATCTTCCGCACCCCACAAGAAAGAGGCACCTAGCCTGTTGCCGAACTCCACATCTCAACAGAGCAGAAAAGACCAATCAAAGAAGCCTGTGCCCTCTTTAGAACCAGAATCTGATGCTAGTGAACATTCACAGACCTCACACCCATGTAACAAAGTGCCAGCAAGCGCTGAAGAGGAAATCCCCTCCTGTTTCCAAGCTTTTCCTTTGGTTCAGCTGACTGATAGTAAATGGCTGAGGCTCCCAGGAAAACTGGCGATGCAGGGTACAAGTTGGCCTAAGCTCCACAGAAGAAACTATTCAGGAGAAAGGCCTAATGTTCAATGTCCCCTTTGGGCACGTTCTAGAAAGGCAAACTGATTTCCATTTAGAGCTTATTGCAAAACAGTATCTACAGTGTTCACCAAATTGAATCGTGAAATTATTACTACCAGAAGCCCCCATCTTCCTGTGTCATCATGGTTTAAACATGACATATAAGCAGGCACAGGGATACTTACAAGGTGGGAATAATAAAGGGGTAAAGTATTTAATGGCAAAGCTTCGCAAGTAATCAATAAAAAAGAAAACATCCAAAGGGTAAGGAACTTTGAAAAGGTCAGTTCCTACTGATCAGAATGCTGATGTTCAATATATAAAAACAATCTAAATAATCTGTTCTTAAAATGCAAAAGCCTAAATTCAAATTAAATACAGCTATATAAGTCAATATACATACATGTATGTATCGACATTGACTAACAGAGCTTGTCGCTTCCTGTGCTTTCACAGAGAATACTTCAATAGAAAGAATTTGTCATGAAATATGTGTTATCTGAATCTGAACAAACTAAACACAAATCGACATAGACTGATACGTAATTTGAGAGTCGCAATAACATTCCATCATAGTGAAGATATGAGGATTTGCACAGGGGATAAATATACAATATTTCTTGGCAAAATAAAAATCGTGTTCGACTGTATTAGTTATGATCATCTTGTAATATTAGTTTCACTTATTTGGCCAAGTTAAGCGTCCTACTTATCAAGCCGCGTGTTTTTAATCACATGTTTCTCTTTTTTTTTGTCTAGTATTATTAAAACAGTGAAATATTGTTGGCGATTCCTTTAATGCTGACTCTGCTGTTAACTTTTGTTCAAGGCCTTTTTCTCAATAAGGAAAAACCTAGTTCGTAACTACCTTTAAACACACTACTAAGTTTGCCTAGGGGAATATTCTTCGATTGATACAAAACGCTGTTGCTATATGCCCGACAGCCGGGAAGGGTCTTAAATGCCCGCAAAATCCCTTTTTCTAATTATTTGAAAGTATTCTATCTTCATTTAGAATAACCAAGCGATCAGGAAAAGAAAACTGGCTTTGCAGCTGAGCGGTTGTGGTTTCTTAGGCATAGAGTAGAGTCGACGCTGTTTCGACTCTTGGGAAAAAAAAATTGAGTGAGTAGCAGTGCGTGACTCACGCGCACGATTTCACACGGGCTAAATACCCGGCAGTCTGAAAGCAGAGCGGGAAAGATAAAAAGCCTTCGCTTCAGCTCCAGAATACTACATGCATACTATCCTTGATTAGTTTCCCAAAAAAATCGGGGAGAGAGTGCTTTGATTTTGAAACTTTATTTCCTAGCCTCTAGCTGCCTTGAACTAGACTGTCGACATAGCTTTGGAAAGCACTCCTCTGATTTTGCAAAAATTTATGCGAATTCTCCTCAGAATATTTTGTCATGGTTTAGGATTGGTGAGTGACGAGAAACAACAAAGTTTCTTAACCAGAGGTTAGATATTACTCGGTTTTGAGAACATAGCCTATGTTGTGGTTGACTCACGTGCGGGTTTCTTCTTACAGTTTAAAAGCCCGGCAGTCCGATTTGTCTGGGGAATTTCAATATAAAGTGTCTCTTTAGCCCCAATTGAAAGTATTTCATCGACCTTCAGATTAACCAAGCTGGTACAAAGAGTTCAATAAACGGTTAAACATATGATGAAGCAGACTGCTGGGTGTTAGCTTGGATGAAAACGTGCCCGTGAGTTGCTTCTCACGATTTTTTTTAGTGTCGAAACGGCGTCGACTCTACTCTATGCCCACAACCGCTCCTCTGCGAAGCCATTCTTGTTTTCCTGATCGCTTGGTAATTCTAAATGAAGGTGGAATACTTTCAAACGATTAGAAGGGATTTGGCGGAAATTCTAGAAAATGTTTCTGACTGCCGGGCGTTTAGTTTTTCTTTAAGACCCTTCTCGGTTGCCAGGCATATAGCCACAGCGTTTAATTTCTTAAAACCTCTGTTTTGATGTCTAGATGAAAAGAATGAAGATTGTCTTTTCCTGAACGTTTTTGTGCCATCTTCCACTAAACCAAATGACACGAAGGCAGTTATGGTCTGGATTCACGGTGGCGGATTCCAGTATGGTTCTTCTAACATCTATCGCGGCGGGGTTCTAGCAGCTTTTAATGATGTCATTATTGTGACCTTGAACTACCGCCTAGGTGTGCTTGGCTTTATAAATGCCCCTGGCACTGATGTCAAAGGAAACTATGGAATGTTAGATCAGGTTTGATGCTCTTTTTTTATACACCTTTCAATTCCACTATCACAATCATCGCCGCCGTCACAACAGCCACTTTGACTACCAGTTACTTAACTTAGAGTCCTTTTACACTGGCGTAGCCGTCGTCAGGTCGTGTTTTTTCGCCCGCGTGACTAATAAAAGGCCACTTAATGAAGCTAATTTTTCTCTTTTTTCTTTTCTTTCAAATAAAGGTATTGGCATTAAAGTGGGTTCAAAGTAACATTGCTAACTTTGGTGGCGATCCCAACAAAGTGACCATTTTTGGCGAGAGTGCAGGGGGTGTTAGCGTCTCGCTTCATCTTATCTCGCCGTTATCCAAGGGTCTGTTTCAAAGAGCCATCATGCATAGTGGAGTATCTTGTATGCCTGCTTTCAGTGGAAAGGTTATCAAACCTATACAACTTGAATGGTATGCCAAACGTATCAACTGCAGTTTGGGATCCGATATTGTTGAGTGTGTGCGAAGCAAGTCTGTCGAAGACATTGTGTCAGTACAGAGTTTGTTCTTGCGTGAGCGGTACATCGGTCCTCGGGATATCATTGGTCCTATAGTTGATGGTGAATTTCTGCCCGATCTTCCTGTTAACTTGTTTGAAACAGGAAAATTCCACGACGTTGATGTCATAAGTGGTTTTGCTTCCAACGAAGGCGCCCTGTTTGCGATGATGATGCCACCTGACCTTGTCAAAGATGGAGTGGAGCGAACTGTCTTTGAATCTTTCGTTAGGTATGAACTGTTCTATAGCGATTTTCAAGGAAAGAGTCCACTCTTAGAAGACCTAATTATTTTCCAGTACACTGACCATGCAGACCCTCTCAACAAGATTGCCATTCGTCAGTCGCTCATGGATTGCGCTTCTGATGCGATGTTTGTCGGACCTGCCATAAAGGAGGCTAAAGCCCTCGCGAAGGTAAAGTACTTCAATTGTTATAATAATAAAAAATAGGCTGCGAGACGGTCAGTTTCTTTCTCTTCCTTTTTCTTTTCAAATGAATCGCTGCTTGCAAGACGGCAAGAGTATTATCTGTTTAAAGGGGAGCCGGGGAGGAGAGAAGAAAAAAGCGCGAGGAAGAGTCAGAGAAGGGAGAGACAGTGGCGCCTTCCTCTCGTCCCCTCCCCCTCTTAAATTTCCCTTCCCCTAACCCCTAAGGAAGTTCTGTTACTCAGCCTTCAAACCATGAAAACACTAGGCGTAGTGTGTTTGAAGGGTTCGGAATTCTCTCTTAGCATTTTACTCAATTCAATTTACCTACGCTCCAAACGTTTCGTTTAACATACTTTCACATAATTGATGGCCAATGATGAAAACGCAGATCATGCATGCATTCTCGGCCATAATGAAAAGTTGACTTCCCTGCTTAATAACACTTAAGTCACATTTGATATCTATCTCAGTCATATTTCCTACTGCTAATCGTTTGAACAAAGCAGGAAATAATTCTCAGGGTGTCATGATTTGTACAGCTCTATGTATCAAGTACTAAACTGTAAACTAATTTCGATTCCTAATTTTTCACAGGCTGGACGTCTACCACGTGTTTATGTGTTCGATTATCGACCAACGTTTGCGGGAACTCCCGAATGGATGGGAGTTATCCATGGGATAGACATCGCATTTACATTTGGTTTCGCCTTTATGGAGAAAACTCGTCTATCTCCAATACGTGAAGCGTTTTTGAGAAACTTCACCGAAATAGAAAAAGGTTTCAGTTTGCAAGTGATGAAAATGTTCACGGACTTCGCCAAATATGGGTAAGAATAAGTCAAACAGTAGCAATTCTTAATTTTTGATCTAGCTTGCATTTGATTTAGCAATCCCCCTAGGAATGAAATAATACATACACTGCCCGACCTCTTCCCCAACTCCCAACAGGTTTGATCAGTCAATTAAGAATAAAGATGGTAACAGGGTATTATCCAAGTGTTTTAGGGCCTGTTTACAGGGAGGTGGGGGACCCAAGGTAGGTGAGGTAACCCGTCCGTCCATAAATGTCTCATTTTCATTTGATCACGTTTACATGATAGTTGGGGTGACCAGCCACATGTTACCCCACCTACATGTACCTGGGTCCCCCGCCTCCATGTAAACGGGCCCTGAATCGAACTGTCGTTATCTTTTAGAACTCCAAATCCTCCCGAATCTGGTCCAGCAGTAGTTACCTGGCCCCATTTCACCTTGGGAGAACAGGAATACCTGGTCCTCGACGTGAAACCGAGGGTGAAGCGTAGGTACAAGGCAGAAAATATGGCATTCTGGAATGAAGTGATTCCAAACGTTTCCAAGTTTTTGAACCAAAAAGACGAGGAGATTTACCAAAAGGCAGCAAAGGATGAGCTGTAGCTGATCAAAACTGAGTTGGAATCTTGCTGTTGTCCGCAGGCAAACTTCGTACGCTTTTTACTTTCCTGTGCCGAACTCATCATACTGGGTAACTGATGACATCAACGCATTATGATGTTAAAAGTAGCCACTATAATTACATACTGTCATTACATTCTTGCCAAAATGGGCTACAAAATGAATATTCTATTTCTAAAATGAACAGAGATTCTGAGAGAAACGTCTGGGGTTTGTTCTCCTTCCCCAACCAACCATCCACATCTTTGTCAAAACGATAATAAAGTTACGAATCATTTAATGCTTTTCATAATTCAGTATTTTCGTATCTATTTCGGAAGCAGGATAGATTTCCTAGTCTCGATCTTGCAAACATGTCTTCCACAATATAATTCCAGTTACTGGATTTTTGCCTTCAAACAGAGCGCGTCCCCTTTACTCCACTTTCACCAATTTAGTGCCCATTTATCCTCCCTGGATAAGAATACTATATATTCTACTACTATCACTACCACTACCACGACCACAACCATTACCACTATCAGTACCAGTGCCAGTGCCACTGCATCTGCTGCTGCTACTCGCAGTAGTGATGATAATAATGATAATAATTATAATGTGATTCAGAAGACCCATACAAGTTTGGTGGGCGAGGCGTGGTGCACGTTGTGTGGTAAGACCCCAGAAAAGAGAGGCTCACATCTTGTCTGGGTGCGGTGCGCTGGCACAGAGCAAGTCCCATGTTCTGGGAATCATAGAGGCCTGTGGCCTGTGTTACATGACGTACAAGCTCATTAGGACGTGCCAGTTTTTGCAGATCATGAAGAGGTGAGATGCTAAAGAAATGACGCGCGAATCGTCAACCACTAGACCAAGCAGGTCATTACACTCGAAATGAACTGTCCGTACGGCCGTTAAGTATCCCCCCCTCCACCCCTGTTTTGGGAATTAAAACAGCAGTTCCCTGGTATCGAAGTGAAACAACATAACATCATTGAAAAGAATGCAGAAGGCGGTGCTGTCGGTCACGCTCAATATTTCCAAGACATTTAAAGTTTTTACTTGAGAGACGGTTGACTGTATTCTCCAACGATGGAATAATTGATTAGTAAAGAACGCCCATAAAAATATATCGAGAAGTCTTCCCGACGTTATTTTTGAACGAAACAGTTTTCAGCTTCTTTTTAATTTTGAACAGACAGGTACAGTTACCTTATTTGAAGCGCATGGTATAATGGCTCATATACCAAGATGGCTAAGCCAACAGACTGGGCTCTAGAATTGCATTATCCAATGATTCAGTCTTTAATAATAGTAATGAAACAATAAAGAAATGCATATCTTTGAAACTGTTCAACGTCTTAACAACCCAAAAATCTGGTTATGGCAACTTCATTGCACAGCTTGTTAGTCCATTATCCTTAGACTTATCATGTCCAGTCCAATCCAACATTGCCAGTGACCTAGTCACAAACGCAATATTTGTGACAGTATGTCTTTCTGTATTCTATCAATATTGCCTTCGGCAGTCAGATATGTTAATATATCAAGTATTCATTTCGTGACCAAAAATCTCTCCTGATTATCTCTGCAGTTGGCGAGTTAGGACGCTAGCTTTTAGGAAAACAACTGCCCGAACTCTGAGCCATTTTTTCTCCTGGTCGAAATGGGCTTTATTTTATCTAATCTGCTAATCTGTATTTTCGTGACCTTTGCTGTTGTTCTTGCATTGAAAACAACCCAAGCCGAAGGTGGCCAGAAGCTGCGTTCCCCTGTAGTGCAGACTGACTCTGGTGCTGTTGTTGGCAATGCTGCGACTCTGCCACTCGGAAAATCGGTGTATGAGTACCTTAGCATTCCGTATGCTGAAGTTCCGGTTGGAGATGCGAGGTTTGCGGCTCCACAACCCGTTAAACCTTGGTCGGGGACAAAAGAAACCATGGAGTTTGGAGCCTCGTGTCTGATGCCTTTTGTCCCTGGAATGACTAACTCAAGTACGTTGTTTTTCCGTATTTAAATGGGGAAAGGCAGTTATATATCATTTTAAAACTTGGTATGTGATACAAATTTAGTGTCCCCCAGGGTGGCCAAGTAAGCCGGTGTTTACATGAGAAAACTCGCACTGGCGCGAGTTCAGTATACCGGAATGACTTTTTGATTTCGTATCGCGTTACATGATGACTGGGTCATTTCATATCTCGTTATTTGAAGGTACACTTCATGTTAATAAAATACACCTGTGATTCCCATCACGCATGCGCTACCCGTTCCAGTCTAGCAGCAGACCGATTTCACACCGAAACGAGTGGTCGACCGCCGCCCGGTTAGCTCAGTTAGAAGAGCGCCGGTCTGCTGAGCGGGAGGTCGTGAGTTCAAACCCCGGCCGGACCACCAACCAATGTCTTTAAAATACTGGTGAGATCATTCTTAGCTGTGAAACTCCTTTCTCAGTACAGATGATCATTGGGCGATGACGTTAAGCCGTTGGCCTTGTCTCCTTCATCCTTGTTCGCCAGTTGGATTGGGGCGTAAAAGAACCCGTGACATTGTTCGAAAAGAGTAGGGGACGTAAGTCCCGATGTCATGGTCTATCTGACTTTTGCCGTCATCGGTCTGGGTAGGCGAGGTGTGATCAAAACATGGACTGAAGTGGCTGCAAGAGTGCGCCTTTACATGCTGACGTCCGATTTCACCTCTCTGGTTCCTCCGCAATTCAGCCATTGGTTGCAAGTGAGGAAAGTTGGCACCGCATATCTTGTCGTTTCGCGTTCACATGATACTGTTACGAGATTTCGTACCGGAGTGAAATTCTCGCCCCGATACGACAACCGGGGTGAACTCACGCTGGGGTGACACGCGCCGACATGGCATTTTGTGGTGGTATCACGTAAACAAATATAGAGCCATGAGAGGGAACCGGACTGTACTCACGCCGGCGCAAAAGGCGCCACGGTGTCATGTAAACACCCCCTAAGAGACTCGGAGGTTTGGCCATTCAATGAAAGTTTAGGTCGAGGTGTAAGGCCTTCAAACCCTGACCAGGTATAAAACAAAAATTGTTGATTTCGCTACCCTGTTAAACCTCAGGACTTCTAAAAAAACTTCCACACTTCCAAACAAACTTCAAGAGAAACTTTCTGACAAACGTCCAGACAAAGATCCAGACAAACTTCCTGACAAACCTTCAGACAAGCTTCCCCTTCTAGACAAACTTCCTTACATGTTTCTGCTAAACGTCCAGACATACTTCCAGACAAATTTCCAGACAAATTCCAGACAAACCTCAAGACAAATACCCAGGCAAACGTTCGGACGATGAACTTCCATTCAAGGCACACATTTAAACAAACTTTCAGACAATCGTCCGGACAAACCTCCGAGCAAACTTCCTGGCAAACTTTCGGACAAACATCCAGACAAACGTCTGGACAAACCTCCTGACAAATATAATAGATTAATTTCCAGACAACCTTTCTGTCAAACATCCAGCCAAAGCTTCAGACAAATTTTCATACAAGTTTCCAGACCAACTTGCAGACACACGTTCAGTCCAGACAAATTGGCTTCTACTCAAAGGCCAGGGCAATAATCATACAACTGTAAAATGGCCTATTGCATGACAAAACCCTGAAAAGCTTACCCTGTTCAGCGGCACCTTATCCTTTCAGGTCAAATAAGAGTGTTACCCTCGCCCCTTCAGTCATTACCCTGAGTCGTTGCGTTTTGGTCACATTATATCGCCCACTCTTAGATGACTTTATGTAGCAGCTTATCCTAAGAAAATTTTGTTATTGTTTCTTCCTATATATCCAAAGCGGGTTAGCCCAAACTGTATGGCCCAATTTTTGTTTTCGTATCTAAGGACTATTTTTATCAACTCAGTAACCTTAGAAAATTCCAAATAACATTTGTGGTCTACTTCACAGTGGGATCTGAAGATTGCCTTTTCCTAAACGTGTTTGTCCCATCGACCATCAAACCCGAAGAAAAAATGGCAGTCATGGTGTGGATACATGGCGGTGCTTTCTCCATGGGTTCTTCCTCTGGTTATTATGGCGGGGTTTTGGCGGCCTTTAATGATGTCATTGTTGTGTCAATCAACTACCGCCTTGGAGTAAACGGCTTTTTTAATGTCCCTGACACTGACGTCAAAGGAAATTATGGGATGCTGGATCAGGTGGGGAAATAGTTTTCACCAAGTGAACTACCATAGATGCTCCAATTAGCGTCTCCCCTCGAATTAACACACCCATCTGTTACAAATCTTCTTGTCCTCCTTACAGAATATACAGAGTACAGTACGTTTACCCAGCGTCAGTGCATATAGCATGATCTGTACAGTCTACAAGAGAATGACCCATTCGAGAGTATCGAATGATAAGAAGACGCGGCTCCTGTGACTGAATAGCGATCATAGCACTGCCTTGAATAAGGTGCCTCGAATTAGCGCCCCTTTAATTTTAACTCCAAAATAAAAAATGAAAATAAAGCTTTCTCTTATAAGTTGACATTCACAGCCTGAAATTTAAGAATACGTTGAACATCTCTGCTCTTGTTTCGACCACAGTGATATACATAGTTATGTAATGGATATGTGAAATGATGATGATGATGATGCTGAACAGAGTGTGTTTATTTGCATGTATTTTTTTTGTCTATGGCAGGTACTTGCCTTAAAGTGGGTTCAATCCAATATTGCAAGTTTTGGTGGCGATCCAACAAGAGTGACCATATTTGGTCAAAGCGCGGGCGGAATGAGTGTTTCGCTGCATTTAGTATCGCCACTGTCAAAAGGGTTATTTCACAGAGCGATTGTGCAGAGTGGTCCTTCCTCGACGCCTTTGTTTTGTGGAAAAGTCACTAAACCGAGGCAGTTGGAAGCGTTTGCAAAAGCTATAAATTGTAGCCTGGGGAACAGCGTTGTTAAATGCGCTCGAGGCAAGACTGTTGAAGAGATTCTCAAGGGACAAATGGCGATTACAATGGGGAGCTACAAGGGATCTTTAGATATTGTCGGTCCGATAGTTGATGGGGAATTTCTCCCTGACTTACCAGAAAATCTTTTTAGAGCAGGCAATTTTAATGACGTCGATGTCATAATGGGCTTCACCTCAAATGAAGGAGCGTTATTACCATTGATAAGACCACCGGAACTTTTCAAAGATGGAGTGGAGAAGGAATTCTTTGAATCCGTAGTGAGACAGGAGCTGCTTTATTCCCGTGAACTGAAAAACAGCCTCGTGGAAGACTTGATTTTGTTTGAGTACACTAGCCACGATGACCCTGGCAACAAGCATGCTTTGCGACAGTTGTTAATGGACAGTTTCACGGATTCAGGTTTTGTTTCTCCCGCTGTGTGGGAAGCTAGAGCTTTAGCCAAGGCGAGTAAAGTAAACATCAATTTATAATTAAAATTCGTGAACATGTCAGACGTGTTAAAAGAATGGTTATTGATACTCAAGTGAAACTTATGGAACGATTGTCTAGCCCCGTTAGACAATCGTTTCACCTAATCCTAGAAACTTTCCCCAAAACAATTGTACATCGATGTGGGAAGAGAGCCAAGTTGTCCCAATAAATATTACAGGTAAAAACTCTTAAGTTCTAGTTTTGTGAAGAACGTGAACAAAAGACAACAATTTCACCTTTCTGTTTTTTTGGACTTACAGACTTTTGGAATCAACTCTAGAAATATTTTCAGATATTTGGCAAATTGAACGAGATGGAATAACAGCGTTGAAGTTTGTTAAACTTCGGAATCTGAGAGTTTCAGGTGCCGTTTTCGTATGCAGCCATTGCTATCCTGGTTGCCTTATCTCACTAATGTCCCTGCGCGAGGTAACGTTTTTCATCAAATTGACAGGGAGGACGGCCACCTTACGTCTACAAGTTCAATCATCGTGCAGAGTGTTCACCATTGCCTGAATGGATGGGTGTGGCCCATGGCATGGACATTGCGTTTGTGCTTGGTGCTCCTTTTAAAGGTTTATCGGAACCTTATGTAAACCTCCTATCGACAAAGTATTCTGAGATAGAAAAAGGACTTAGTTTGCACGTCATGAAAATGTGGACGGACTTTGCTAAGTATGGGTAAGTGTGATGTTTATGTGCGAGTAAGTGTTGTTATATTATTTTAGCAATCATGAATAAAGCTGAGTATGATATCAAGAGTTATGCATATCCAAGGGACTGCTATTCTCCTTGGCCTTCGCCTCGGTAGATGACAGCCTCAGAGATCTGCATAACTCCTCACATTATGTGAAAGCTGAATTCAATAATTGTTTTTTTTATTCGTTAAAAATATTTCTAACCTCCTTACAAGCTTAACCCTTCTGAGACTTTTTCCTGAATTTTTGGCCTATTTCTCGGCCCGGCTCAAGGATATAAGCATTTATTTTCGCAGATACCCCTAAAAAGAAAAGAAGGTAACATCCATATGCTTTGCTTATTCCTGGGTTTCTTCTGTTCAGTTTTAATCAGAAATTCAGCTGTTTCGTCTTTGAGCTCCTTTTTTCAGTTCACTGGTGAATAAACAGCTGTGGTGCCGCGCCAGGAAACGAGGTTGATCGATGGTCTTTTGCTTATGCAGCCTCATTCCCAATCAAATATTCTATACACTAACCTCGCTTCCAATCAGATATACCATGGAGTGGATGTTATATTGTTCGCGTCTTTCAAATTTGGTCAGCGCCGGTTGGTTATGTAGAATTACCTGTGGGCAGGGGGGAGGTCGGGGGGAGGGGTGGAGCCAATCCGGAAACGGCAACGTATTTTGAATGAATATCGAATTCTTTAGATTAACCTCCAAAAAGATGTCAGTTACGAACAATATTTGTAATTATTAATTTGAAGTCATTTAAGACACAGGACTTTTTTTGGTTGCATCATGCATGCTTTTATCTTTTCCCTTAGGTTTCCAATTCCACGCGACTCTGATCCTACTCAAGTCACGTGGCCCCGGTTTACCGAACAAGAGCAAAAGTATCTTGTCCTGGACCTGAAACCGAGGGTGGAGCGTAATTTTAGAGCAGAGAAGGTGGCGTTTTGGAATGAAATCGTTCCGAAGGTGCTAGAGTTCACGAGAAAGAAACCCGAAGCTGTGAATGAAAAGACACCGAAGGATGAACTGTAATCCGAGGTTAATAACATAATGTTATCTTTTCCTAAAACAGGGCAGAAAGGAAAACGTTTTTCGACCGTAAATGCTCCGAACTTAAACAAATTGCGCAGTAAAGTACTGCTCTTTGCAATTTTTAACTTGTTTGTTAACCGTAACGGAAAAAAAAAAAAATAACCGATAGCTGTAAAGGAGCCAAAACTTAATTAGCCGATAACCGTAAAAGTTACCACGCCATTAAGACCCTCTTATAACTGATGATTTAAGTAAAGGCTTATCGAAACCTTATGCAAACGTCCTATCGACAAAGTATTCTGAGATAAAAGATAATAACAATAAAGAGATAAATAAATAAATAAGAGCTTAGTTTACTCGTCATGAAACTGTGGACGGATTTTGTTAAGTGTGGGTAAGGACTATGGCTCTATTGACTATGGTTATGTGCGTAAGTGCTGTTAATATTTGAGTTATTTCATGTGATTGAGTATGATGTGCAGAAGAGCTCTGGGTCGAGATTGTTCCCTTTCTCCCCTCCCCTCTTTTTTGGCTTTTCTTGAGTCATTTTTTTTCTCTTGCTGGGCATTTAGCAGGCTTCATTCTCCGTTCTGACTAAATATGGCTACTCTACTTGGATCAGCGCCAAATCTTGCGATGTTTGCTTGAACCATTTTAGTGCCAGCACCTGCATTTTTGCCACTCAACTCACGCAGGCATGAATATATAGGTATGAGAGGGTCTGAATGGGCTTTAGTATTTAGTGTTATTTGCGCATAATTTTTACTGTTTGCTGTTAAATTGGTCAATTTTTTAATGTTTACTGTTTCCAAAGAAAATACTATTACGTGCAGGGAGGGTTCTTTGGACATCTTCGGCAAAGGTCGGACCTCTTCGTTTGTCTTCGTAATCTTTGACAGTCTTCGGGAATCTTCAGGAGCCTTCGGAAATCTTCTGAAGTAATCCGGGATAGTCCATTTTCGAGTTTGCTATGACCGCCGAATTAAAGAATTGAAGACGCATTTTTTAACAGCCTTATTTAGCCTCAATCTGAAGTAATATATTCACAAATTCCAACGAGAAAAAGACCTGTTTATTACTCTGTCTATTGTGTATACAGCTATTTCTAGAAAGGTTGTCGGAAAAACTGTGGTGATGCGACAATCCCGAAAGGTAATATGGGATATGATCAATACACTGTTCCTGACACTGTAGCAGTCGAACCTACTTTTGTTGCTTTCCTTTAGCACTCGTTAACATACGTCCATGGCCCCTCTTGCCATTCTTTGAAAAAACAGTGAACTAAAAACCACCCACAATACCTTTCGGGATTGTCGCGTGCACTTTTTCCGACAACCTTTCTCGAAATAGCTGTATTCAAATTTCAAACACTTACTTGCCAGAATTTCTGAATATTTTACTTTACTTCGAGGCTAACCCTGTATGAATGTGTCGTTAATGTTTATATTCAGCGGTAATTTTTAATTCGAAATTGGACTATTGTCGTAGAATTGCCAAAAAATCCTTGATATACTAAAGAAAATAATATTGGCCTTTTTGGAGCCGTTTTTGCTTTTTTCTGAAAAAAAAATTACTGTTTCAAAGAATTTTTTACTGTTAGTGTTAAAAAGCCTTAAATTTACTGCCCTTTTCACAAACATGCGAACTCTAAAGTTCAAACACCGCCTTCACAATTGCGTTTTTCACTGCCGTCAATGATAATTACAATCACAGGCAACGAACCTTGAAACACAGAAACACACAAAACGGATCGCGATCCACCAATCACAAATCACAAACCAAGAACTTTTGAACCCGTTAAAGTAAAGTTTTGTTTCCTCAGAGGTCCGTTAAGATGATTGACGGCAGCGAAAAACGCAATCGTCAGGTTGCTTTTGAACTTCAGAATTCGCATGTTTGTGAAAAGCGCAGTAACTGTCTGATGTTATAAAGCCAAAAAATGAAGTGTTAATTGTTATCGAGGTACCCCCATTCAGACCCTCGTATTAGGATTTCCAGCCGTCACAGAATTATATACATCGTTTATCACCAACAAATTTCCATTTTGGTTTTTAATGCCGTGATTCGAATTCGTATCATCGAAAGCGGAAAAGTATCCCGATCAAAGAGTTGGTAAATGTAATCGGATACAAAGTATTCAATTTAATTTTGGATTCAAAACGAATTGGTTACGAAATTGCCCGGATTTATTTAAAAAAAAAAAAACTAACTCTAATATAACATAGCCTTCAAAAATAAATTCGAACTCAAATGTTAATAGGTGAGACGAATGACATGGGGAACTCTGATCGATTTGACCAAGCATATTATGCGATGTTTTTAGTTGCCTATTCCAAAATCGACGCCTTCTTTTCATCTTTTAGAAGAAAATGAAATGCTCGATTTATAGTTAGCTGTATAGCATACATGTATATAGAAGCATACCTAAATTATTTTTATCTTTCCTATGCTGGTAACTAGCTGTGGGCACTCGTCTCCAAAGTTTGTGGCATCTCTTATACCCAACGAAAGGCTTGAGAGTTTTTGGAGTTGCAAACCTAAGCCTTCCGATCCGAGGATCAGCATTTGGGACACTATTGATGGACCGATAAAATCCTCCCAGCTAATTTTAAATTTACAAAAGAATTGATGACGGTGGGCAGGCGGGGGCACAGACCTATTTGAGCATTGCGAGTGTCTCTCACCTGGCCTTTACGCTCCTTGTACTTGCCAGTTAGCGTCGAAATATCGGGCACATGGCTCCCAGCCAAGAAGGATTTTCGAACAAACAAACAAACGGAGTCCCAGTAAGTAAAGTTTTTAAAAGTTTAATCCCCAGCAAGGACTTTAATTTCTTACTGAAGCTCCCAACTACCAAAACTTGGCCCGAGGAACTGAAAACTAAGAAACAGCCCCTTTGAGTATTCTCATGTGCTAGCATAAGCGCCTAACTACTGTTTTCGTTAAAATGTCTGTTCGAAGAAGCACATAATATTGTCTAAAACTGATAGAGCTCGAAAACGGCTAAAAATTTCTACATGACTGTCTTAATCATCCCAGATTGACGAGGTTTTTTTAACTTCCTATGGATTTTTCGGAAAATGTTTTTTTTTTGTTTGCATTTTCCTCTCCAGACTTGGTCATTATTTGTTAAAAAGGACTCCTGAAATTTTTGGCTTTTGCTTTCGCGACGTAAAGAGGTAGGAATCAGAACGTGCTGAGTTTTTGTAAACGGTGAAATAGCGTCTTAGACTTTCGTAAAAATAACGAGAAAGCCCTCATGGATTCGAGAAGGGTAAAGGTGCCCTAGGACTGTCGATCATGCAGTCTTCTTAGCATGCATTTGCCGAAATTTGAAACATTCTGCATAACAATAGACTATATATGGTTTTTAAAGTAATTTTGAGAAAACCGTTGTTGGAGGTCCTGATTTAAGTGGCTGTCCACCTAAGAGCGGTCCGGCGAGTTTGGGATCGCCAGTAAACCTTCTCTTTATTTTTTGTGGGTGAAAAGGACTTAATGAGGAATGATTAAAATCGAGCTAATTTTTTTCAAAATCCTTTTCTGTGCTTCGCTACAGGACAAAACTTCTTTCCTCTCTGAGAGCGCTTTTTCAACTTTATTCAATAGCCAAAATTCAGTAATTTTAAAAGCCTCGCTTTTTCATAACAGATAAATATCGCGAAATTCTACATAGTACAATGGATTTAGCTGCATTTGACTTGTCCTATGACGGAATCTTGGATAATTTGACGCAAAATTAAATTAAATTAATGAGATCAAAGACGAGCCACTTTGCGGTTTTTTTT